GGGTCAGTTTTTTTTATAGAAATTAATTCCACTGAATAGTTTTCAAAGATAGAATATTATACTGAATGAATGAATCTAAATAGTCAAAACTTAAGTCGTTACCCAATCACATTCATTGAAAACAATAATATTTTGGACATTTATTTCACATATGTCAAATAGAATTTCTAATAACTTTTTTTTTCCGGCTTTTATTGAATTTCCTGGAATTTACAGTTTTTTTTCTGTCAACCCATAAAAAATTGTTTATATGTTACCTTTTAAATTCACCATTTTCTTTTTAGACCAAGCTAGTAAAACATAAATTTTCAAATTTATAAACCATAATCTGTACAAAGAAGGGTAACCACAAAAGGAATAAGGAAAAAAAAAAAAATCCTTTCATACTGGTTACAGGCTTTTTTTCCTTTAGATTAAGATTACAATTCATATAGTCAATCTAACATTTTAAGAAAAATAAAATTGGAAAAAGAAATAAAGTTCCAAAGAGAAAACACTTCATTGTCTGTATGAGTGCTTCTAACTATGAATAAAAAAAGAGGATAATCTTTTTGGTTGGTTTCAATTTTCAACCCTCCTAAGTCGAGTATTGCTCTCCGTTCGTATGTAACTCATTTGGTTTCCGGTATACAATACTTTATTTATTTTCATAATTTGTAATTATCAATGAAAAACATATGGTAAAATAATTTGTTCTTCTCAAATTCAAGCGAGCGAATGTGTAGTAGGAAGAAGAAGCATGTGACATGCACGGAGATTGATGAATCTCTCTAAACGCTCAACCTAACTTTCACTTAAAGCGATCAAGTTGACAATTTTTAATTTTAGTTTCTTATATTATGATAAGTGTTTAACCGACCATCTACTGTTTTAATCTACTACACTGAGACTTGTGAAACGGCTAGACTTTCTCATGTCTAAAGAACTTTAGAAACAAAAACAAAAAAACCCATACGATATATATATATATAGTTTAAACTTTTATAAAAATTTGTTTTACTAATTTTGTGTAGCCCAACATTTTAAGCAAAATTGAATAGTCGCAACCGCAACCTATATCATATATTTATTTTACTAATTTTGTTAGTGATTCATGTACTATTTTACCGGCTATTCATATTTTATTATTTTAGTCTTGGTTTTCTAACATACGTGTAATTTAACCCAAAAAATCAGTCAACTAATGATAATGCATTATGTTTGCTTAAAGCATTTTTAGTCAACATGGAATGGAACGTACATGA